GCTGTCGATGTAGTCCCGGCTCTCTGAGGGGTTCCAGTCCTCCTTGTGTTTGTTGATCTGCTCTTGCATAAATTTTTGCAAAACCCTCCAGTATTTGAAAATGGTTTGGTGGGCTCCAGGTAAATACTTCATTATAGATGGGAAATTGTTGTACAGCTTTGAACATAGAAGGAGAAAGACAAATTGAATAAAGAACTTCAAAAACTCTTCTGACATCAAGACTTCACCCTGCAATTGCTCTTGCTGAACTTCTGGAGCTGGTGCAAACATCTCAGCTCCAGAAAAGCAGAATTCTCATTATGGAGTAAGTTGTGTGTTACCCAGTCTTTTAGCAGGCAAGTTGGCAATCAGTGGGCAAGTAAAGTGATTTTGGATGAGAGAGAGCAGTGTGAGCTGGGTACAACTTAACGCAGAAAGAAATGACAGGCAAATCTACCCTATGCAAGGGATCAGGGATTGACAGCTCTGGTGATGACAACACTGTGACTTAAGGTTGACTCCAGAGAAGAAACTATGCCCTCAGTTGGTGGCAGGAGGGCTGTACCTGAGCTGAGAAAGCTCCATTGAGGGTAGTCATTTCATTCATCAGCTTCAGCAGTCTTTGGAAATCCTCATCGTGGTAGTCAAACCGATTGCCAAAGATGAGGGAGCAGATGACATTTGCAACAGCATTAGTGATTTTCAACTGAGGGTTGAAAGGATTCCCTGGAGAAGAGAAAGATCAGTTCTCTTCCACTCTTCTCAGAAAAGAAGAAAACACATTTCAGATGTAAAGCAATCAAGAAATATGAATGAAATGAGGGGCCCCTAATGGGCTCTGTCCTATGTCAGTGCTTTCCTGGGGCACCTGGCTGACCCTCTGAGCTGGCCAAGCTTGGCAGGACAACCCCAGTGGTCCCAGTTCAATCAGCTTATGGACATGTTTGTTTACATCTGAAAACAAGGTCTGCAGAATGTATTTGAATTCATTGGAAACATCAGAATTTATGCACATGCGGTATTTCCCAGAGAGGAGTAAACTGAAGGTGGGCTGTGAATAATGCTGTGGGTGTTGCCTGGTGCATTCCCCAGCCACCTGGAAGGCAAAGCACCCATAGGAAAGAGCAGGGATGCTGGCAGTGTTGTAGCATCGCCTGCAAGGTGCGGTATTTTTCAGCATGCAGTGACATTATAACAGGCCCTACCAGCTTCTGCCCTCACAGCTGCTGAGGGCCATGGCACTCACCCTGTCCATCCCTAAGCACATCCACCAGGTATCTGCACTCCTCCTGGATGCACTCACCCTGTTCATCCCTAAACACATCCACCAGGTATCTGCACTCCTCCTGGATGCGCTCCTCCAGGCTCCTCTTCCCCA